ATAAGAAATAGCCTCCGTGGCTTCATGTAACTGTGTTCATAAAGCTTTAATCAATTGGCCACACACGCAAACCGAAAGCGTTCTGCCTTCATCAGGAACATCCCCCGAGCAGGCGGGTGTGTGACCAGGCAGAGGCCTGCGCTCAAACATGACTGCAGCAGGATCGATGGTTTCCCCAACATCCAAGAAGAGGTCGTGCCTTCGCCGAAGGAGGCCATGTCCTGGGAGGCAGAGCAATCAGGGCAGAAACTGTGTGCGTCATGATGCTCAGAGGACAAAGGGACCTGCAGCCACTCCTGCAGGCACTGGGCACTCAGGCACTCACAGAAGCAGCGAGAACACTCGGCCTTCATCACCCGCCCCTCCCTGATTGGCTGTGCCCTATGCTGCTGCCCAGGAAATGCAGCCCAGAAAGCCTATCTCAGGGTCAGTTTCACGGCAGAAAGGGGACACGAACTTTCTAGAGGCAAGCTGCCTAGGAATCCGGCCTCAGCCAGGCTAACGCGTTAAGGAATCACACCGACCCAGGTCCACAAGTGAAAAGCTGGGTTTCAAAGACAGGCAGGGGAATAAGCAAGCTGCACACACACCACATCCTTCAGTCATGGTGGCAGCTGGGGCACATGGCTCTGCTTTGCTAAGGCGTCAGCGGCATTTCCTCCCGACGCAAGTGCATCATGAAAGAGAAGAGGTGACCCTCAGCCCGCTGGAGGTCTGAAGTTTCAGCTGAACCAGGAAGAGCTTCTGTGAAGTTAATCTGAATCCACCCATTTCCATTACACCTGCGCAGAGGACTACTGATGGGGTTTTAAGAATTCTGAGAAACAAAGTTCTCTCTCTCTCTCTTCCTTCCCCTCCCTCTCTTTTACACACACACACACACACACACACACACACACACACGTAAAATCTTAAATACATCTTTATTACATGCATCACAATTTTGTTCTCTAATATAACATGCAGAGAACCAACATGCAAGTTCTTTGCTGTGTGCCCAGCACCTAGCTCAACGTCAGGACAGCAGGCTGCCCATATGTCCTTGTTGAAAAAGTGAAGAGATGAGTATTTGCTCTACCCTGTGGACTTAGAACCCACCCGGCCTTGCCTAGAGACTTTATTTGTACTCCCGGGAAGAGTCCGGGGCTCTGTGCTAACTGCATAAACACGCTTTTCATGGAGTCACTTCAACTCCTCTAGTCCCGGACAGTGGCTCTATTCTTTCTGATGGAGCAATACTAGATGTAAAGTAGTACATTTTTAACACCCTGTTTCTTAATTCTCCCCCAAAGCACCCTATTTAAAGCATCTCGTCAACATTTTGGTATTTGTCCTCTTCTTTTCTGATTTGGATATTCCTGAATAACCAAACGCCAACAGTCAGCAGGGTGAGTGACAGCCAAGGTCAGACCACCCGCTAAAGATGTAACTTCACCCGGAAGAACTCCCTAGGGCTCAGCTACTTTGACCTCTCAGGCTATAGCTCTTGGATGCAAATTCAGATTACCTGATGAATTTTAATGCCTTTCAACAGAAGTAAAATTGTATGTGGAAACATTTATTAAGTAGTGAGAGCTGGCTGTGGGTATGGGTACCTAAGTCAGAGATGGGTTCAAAACCAGACCGGGTCAGGCTGCCGCAAAGTACTGATGCTCAAGAATGAATCTCAAGAGTGTTGGAACTGGAGCCTCCACAAGGTGGGTGTAACCCTTTTTTTTTTTTTTTTTTTTTTTTTTAAATATATTTTTTATTGATTTTTTTACAGAGAGGAAGAGAGAGGGATAGAGAGTTAGAAGCACCAACAAGAGAGACATCGATCAGCTGCCTCCGGCACACCCACCACTGGGGATGTGCCCGCAACCAAGGTACATGCCCTTGACCGGGATCGAACCCGGGACCTTTCAGTCCGCAGGCCGATGCTTATCCACTGAGCCAAACCAGTTTCGGCTGAAATACTTCTTAATGAATAAAGGTCTAAAACAAGCCTATGTGGGTCTCAGGCCTAGTGATTTCCTCGAGAACACTTAGTATCAGACAAAAAGATTCTCCCTTATTGTAATGTGGATTTTTAAAAATTAATATATGCACCCCTATGTTCATTACCAAGATTTGGAAGCAACCCAAGTGCCTATGAATAGACAAGGGGAGCCCAGCCAGTGTTGCTCAGTTGCTTGAGTGTTGACCCATAAACCAAGAGGTCATCAGTTCAATTCCTACTCAGGGCACATAATCTGGTTGATTACCAGTAGGGGGCATGCAGGAGACAGCCAATCAATGATTCTCTGTCATCATTGATGTTTCTAACTCCTTTCTTCTTTCTCTAAAAATCAATTTAAAAAAAATTTTTTTAATAAGTTTTTATTGTTCATATTATTACAAATGTTCCTTTCCCCCCACCCACCATTGCTCTCCTCCACCAGGTTCCCATCCCACCCTCTGCCCTTTCCCCTCTCCCCATTGTCCTCATCCATAGGTGCACAGTTTATGTTCAGTCTCTTCCCACGCCCCCCTCTCCCCTTTACCCCAAGAATCGTCAGTTCACTCCCCTTCCATACCTCTGATTCTATTATATTCAACAGTTAATATTGTTCATCAGATTTTTTTAATTTCCTTGGTTTTTAGATTCACTTGTTGATAGTTATGTATTTGTTGTTCATAATTTTTATCTTTGTTTACTTTCTCTTCTGAAAGAACCCCCTTCAGCAATTCATATAATTCTGGTTTGGTGGTGATGAACTCCTTTAGCTTTTTTTTATTAGTGAAGCTCTTTATCTGGCCTTCGATTCTGAGTGATAGCTTTGCTGGGTAGATTATTTTTGGCTGTAGGTTCTTGCTATTCATCACCTTGAATATTTCTTGCCATTCCCTTCTGGCCTGCATGGTTTCTGTTGAGAAGTCAGCTGACAATCGTATAGGTGCCCCTTTGTAGGTTACTACCTTCTTTGCTCTTGCTTCTTTTAATATTCTCTCTTTGTCTTTTGCTCTTGGAATTTTAATAATGATGTGTCTCGGTGTGGTCCTCTTTGGATTCCTTTTGTTTGGAGTTCTGTGCGCTTCCTGGACTTGTAAGTCTAATTCTTTCACCAGGTAGGGGAAGTTTTCTGTCACTATTTCTTTCAGTATGTTTTCCATATCTTGCTCTCTCTCATCTTCTGGGACCCCCATAATTCTGATGTTGGTTCGCTTGAAGTTGTCCCAGAGGTTTCTTACATTATCTTCAATTTTCTGGATTCTCTTGCCTTCTAGCTTCTGTGGAGGAGTGTCTTCTGGCTCTTTATGTTCCAAATCTTTGACTTGGTTCTTGCGATCTTCCCTTCTGTTTTTAGGACTCAGTAAAATATTTTTTATTTCAGACAATGTATTCTTTATTTCTTGTTGATCCCTTATCATTTCTTGTTGACTCCTTATTAATTCTAGTTGATCTCTTTTCATATCCTCGTAGCCCTTATCCATCTTTTCTAAGAAATTCTTGAAAAAACTTATAAGCGTAGATTTGAACTCTATATCCAGACGCTTTTTGTCCTCCATTTCTTTCGTTTGTGATCTATTTTGTTGTCGCATTTCCCAGTTACAGATGGGACGGGGTTTCAGGGTGGAGCCTGCAGGTTTGGCTTCTGTCAGCCCCGCTCTATGCGGGTCCTTCAGTGCTCGCTGCTGCCGGCGCCTCTGAGAGAAAGGTGCCCTCGATTTTCGCCTGCTGCCAAACAGTCTATGCTCTCCCCCAATGAGCCCGGTATTGGGGTTCAGTTCAGTTGGAAATGGAGTTGGAGGTGGCGTTCAGAGCAGTCTGGAGCCCCAGTCTCCTTCCCGTCAGGGCAATCTCGCGGCACAGCCGACCGTCCCTTCTCTGCGCAGTGTGCGCGCCTCCGGGACCTCCTTTCGCCTCTCCCCGGGGTTCCGCCTTACAGCCCGGCTCCCTATGGCTGAGCCTGAGTCCCCGGGGTCTGCCCCAGAACCGGGGTTCAGAGCAGTTGGGGGCCCAGCACAGTCGGAGCTTTTCTCTCCTTTCCGCTCAGGAACGCCCGCCAGGCACTCGGCCTCCCTCCTCTCCGGCTCCGTCCTCTCCGCGCGCCACGTCTCCGTACCTTGGGCTTTTCCTGCTCCTCCGCGCCTCCTTCTGGTTTTCTCCTTGCTTCTCGCTGTAGAATTTCCAGTTAGTCAACCTTCCTGTAGTTCTGGGCAATGTCCGTTTTATATTTTATTGAAATTGTTGTGTGCGGCTGCGGCTAGGTGTTCACCTGGGCGCAGCCATCTTGGATCCTCTCGGGTGTAACCCTTTTAAAGAGATCTACTCTCTATACTTAACCAAAGTCCCAGTAACAGAAATTCGCGAGGACCTGGGACCTTTGTTTAAAAGAGATTAGTCTGGCTGTGAAAGAAAAGGGTCCGAATAAAAATAGGAAACAAAGCCTGAGTCTTGCCTTTCAAGTCCTGCTGGCATCCCAGGTGATAGGAGACTGAGCAGCACATGAGAAGTAGGAAGAGTTCTGGAGGCTGGTCAGCAGTTTTATGAGTCAGCATATTGTTTAAACCTCTCTCCGAGAATAAAGACACAGTCACTTTTCTTGTAGAGATTTTTAAAAATGTCAAATCAGTAAAACAAAGTATAAAGGTTTGTTATCTGTGGATCTTGAGAGTACCGAGAGATTTATTATTCTCTGTTGGAAGCATTCCATAATAAAACATATGATAAAGGAATCAACATAACAGGAACAAGGAAAACCACCCAAATGCATGTTTGGGGGTGGGGGAGGGTTTATAAAGGATGCTTGCTCTGCCTCTGCAATGGTCAGAACGTGAGACATTCGATTCCAAGTTAGTTAGTATTTTTAAAATAACATCTGTCTTCAAAATATGGATTAAGATGTTGAATTTGGTGACACTGTGACAAACGTTAATAGAAATCAACTCCCAGGAAACCGGAAAGCCATCCAATATCAACCTCGTGCTGACAATTCATCATCTTTCATAAGACGCATTGCGAAGAGCTGAGTACTGACCTCCCCAGAACAAATGATCCTCTTGGGACGAGGGGCCTCTTGCTGTAGCTGGTACACTGCCAGAAACAACAACAAAAACGTTAATTATAATTCGAAAATGGTAACACATCCCAGCATGCCTTCAGAGAGTTCCACCTAAGTACATCTCCAAAATGGCAAATATCTCAAACACAAAAACAGAGGAGACAGGCCCATTTTTTTCTTTTTTAAAGACTGAATAAAGTCAGGTCATTTATATGGAAATTAGTCACTGGGAATGTAAACTGGCAAAATTGATTTTTTTTATTCTTATAAGGCCAATTTAGTTTCCTAATTGTTACCGGCATTGTTCATTTCATGGCTTTCTTGGAAGACTAGATAACCACTGAAATTCTTGCGACTGTTGCAAAGATGAAATTCTACTTGCGAGCATGTCAGTAGTCAGATCCTGTAATAATAGGTTTCCTGAATTGAAATGCCCGCAGCTCCTGACATACCAGGGAAAGACTGGCCTTAGGAAGGAGTGTCATTCTCTGAAATGCTACAGGGATGGACAAAGACACACTGCCGTGACTGAATGGAACCCCAGCACATGCTTTCACCAGTTTTGTTTCTGCCCCGCCTATCACCACGGCTTCTCATCTGTTGGACTATTTCCCACCCATTGTCATTCCTTTTCCTTGGGCTCTTTCATATCTTAAATAATAATAACGCTCCTATATCCTGTTTTAACGACAGACTTCCAGGCGTGGGCATGGAGGAAAGCGGGTAATTAAATAGAAAAGGACAATTTATCAGACGGTTCTTTGGGATTCCTTTCAGGCTGTAACAAATGCATTTCTGCTGTGCAGCCAGCCTGGTTACTTCCCCGAGAGGGAAGCTGCCCGGTGCAGGTTCCACTTCCCTGAACACAGAGCTTGAAAACAAACATAGCTGCTGTTATCTTCGGAATCTTGAGAGGGAAGAATTTTAGTTTTAGGTGGAATAAATCTTTGAAAAGTTAAAAACTCAATCATGTAAAGCCTAGAAAATGTACTAACATATGCAGAAACCCCCAATTTATTCTTAGGTCTAAAAATAATATTTAATTGAAGGGCAGATGGTTATGAGAAAACAGGGATAGCACTGATGGGATGTATGTTGTAATTATGGCTCCCCAGTGCCGTCAGCTCAACGGTTACTTTCTTGCCTAATTAAGTGTAGACTACCCAACTTCAGCACAGAGCGGGACCTATCTAACCCTCTTAGAGATGCTTAATGTGCCCCATTTCTAAGCTTAAGTTGTCCCTTACGAATGGAGATGCTTGTGTCACTTTGGTACCCACGTATGGAGACAGAGTCAGAGGTGACTTCTTGGCCAAGAGGAAACACGAGGAGGAATTGACCGAAGACACAGAACTAATAGTGGACATGCCACTACTGTCCCATCAGGGTCCATGCTCTCCTTAAATCAGGAGAGAGGCTCCTTGATGCCTCTTGAACCAGCCCCGACACTGGCTAGCTGCTTGTTAGGGGCCTGCTGCTATTAGTGAGTGCAATGAGAACTGGAGGCCAGTTCCTGCAACCACAGAGTTCCTGATCCAGAGAGTCCTTACCCCCTTCTTTCCCCACTGCCAATGCCTCAGTTACGTGGTCGTATGTGGCTGGAATGGCTGTGTGGACACCATTTTTAATGCCTCCCTTGGAGGTGACCAAGGAAATACTTCTGTTACAAGGGAAGCATTTTTAGGTAAGTATGCCTTTGCAAGTCATATGAGAACACATATGAACATGTGTGATGGCCAGGAATCATAGTCAGCATTCCATGGAGGCTTAGCAGAGGAAGGGAGAAGAGACGAAAGCAACATTCTGAGTGCCTGTCATGTGTCAGTAACAATTTTTTATTAAATCTCCCTGGGAACTCAGAAAAAAGAACATGTATCACAGCCATTCTGTTTTAGTGACAAACAAGGGCAGAGAAATTAAATATTTATCCCAGAGCATCCAACTAGATGCATCCTTTAGATTCCAAATTGCTGGTTTGTTTTCATAGGCCCCAGGGCCTTTGCACGTGCTGTTTCTCCACCTGGATTGCTCTTTTCCCAAGATCCCACATGGCTCATCACTTTGCCTCCATTCAGGTCCTCCCTGGCTTGCCTGATTTGGGATGAATTTCCATCCTACCACTCTGCTCCCTTACACTGGTTTCTGTTTCCTCACAGCACTCGTCACCGCTAACACACTTGGTTTGCTTTGTGCCTTGTCTCCCTTGACTATAGTAAGCTCTTCGAGGGCAGGGACTTGACTCAGCACCTTGAACAGTACTTGGCACATAGAAGATGCTTAATGCATATCTGATGAATGAATGAACTGTGTCCGATGACTAACAGGTCACCATCCATGCCCTCAGGGACACTGACCCAGTGAGGTGGGTGTACGTGGAAAAATGAGACAGGGTGGGCCAAGTATAATACTTCACTGAGGGTGAGGCTTGGAGCTCTCCGTGAAGGATTAGAAGGCAGAGAACAGAGAAGGGCTTACAGGTGGAGGAAAGAGCCCTGGGAGGGAAAGGGAATGATGTGCTGATTGGTCAGTGAGAGTCCAGTGTGTCTACTGCACCAGGTGAGCAGCTGTGTGAGGAGGTCACGTGGAACAGAGCCTTGCAGGTCATACTAAGGGCATGGGTGGCCTTCTCTCTACCATGGGGAGGGAAGTTGCAATGTGTTTTGAGTATGGAGGTGACATGAGCTGGTCTGTTTCTGAAGAATAACAATAAGAATAAGACTATTCAGAATAACCAAAGCTGCCATTTTCTGGATACCTACTATGTGCCAGACACCTTTATCCACATCTTCTCATTTAATTCTCCCAACAAGCTTCCGAGATAACTGTTATTCCCTTCTCACCGGTAATGCAGTAGAGATGCCAAGCTTTGAACATGTTCAAGTTCACACAGATGATATGAGGAAATCAAGATTTGAGGGCCAATTTCCAGATTTCAAGGTCTGCATTTTTTTTAGCCTAAGGCAGATAGTGGAGAGGTCCCAAGTGGGCTGATTGCGTTAGGATCTCCAGGGAGCTGCTATAAAAATACAGATTTCCAGAACCCATTGTCCCTGGCAATGCTCACTCTGCCAGTCTGGCACGGGGGCCCAAAATACTCTTGTGAAAGCCGTGCAGGAAACTCTGATGCACAGCCAGGAGGGGTGCCATCGCCCAGTGCCTCTCCGAGGACCGTGGAGGCAGCGGAGCAAGAGAGACAGTATTTTAGACGGAAACACAGGAGATGGTGGAAGTGTGAGTTAAGCTAACATGGGTGGGAAGGTGAGTTGATTACAGAGGAGGACTGACTAGGCTTGATTACAAACGGAATGACTGAGAGACTGAGATGCCGTTAACCATCACCCAGGATACGGCTGAAGGAACATTATAGTTCCTCTCCTGCGGCAATTTTGATAGGGCCCCTGTAAACCCTCAAGCCAGGGACACCACCTCTCCTTACTGGTCCCCAAGGAGCACACATCATTAACCAATCACCATGTCGCAGGGAGCTGGTCTCAGGACCTACAAGGTCTGCTCTGTGCTGTTCCAAGCAACAGAAATCATCAAACAGGCAAGAAGCCTGTTTGCCTTCTGGATTATGTGTCTCTATAAAAATAATGAGACGGCAACCAATGGCAATGGTGGCCATGTCAGATAATGGGAACCTGAAAGCTATCTTAGCTTCAAGGGAGGTCCCCAGTCCCCCATTTTCAAGGTTAGCTATAACACAACAAACATCTGAGAAGTCTCTGAGGAACATTTCATAAAACTGAAATGCCAAGTAGTTTTAAAGAGTCGTTTTTAGCATTTTCTTTGTTCAATAAATACATTTCACAAGCAAAATGCAATACTATATGTCACTTCTTGGGTCATTCTATGGGCTAAGGGACGATATAATGGAATTTGCTTCTATTGCAATATTCCAATTATGTGTCAGGCACTGCCCAGCCCTGGGCCCACTGCAGTATATGAGAGAATTTTCATATGGAACAAACTGTTTGGTAAACTTTGGGTAAGGGATGGTGACTGAGGAGTATAAAGGTGAAAAAGGGGTTTCCTGTCTGGCCAGTATGGCTCAGTGGTTGAGCATCAACCTATGAACTAGGACACATGTGTCAAACACAAGGCCCGCGGGCCAAATCCGTCCCACCAGGCCTTGCAATGTGGCCCGCACCGCGCTGTCATCACTGCACTCCGCTGTGTTTCCATCACAATGACAGTTTATGACTGTTCAGTAAACCATTCGGCCCGCGATTTAGGCTGGATTTTAGATTTTGGCCCCTTCTCTGATTGAGTTCGACACCCCTCAACTAGGAGGTCATGATTCAATTCCCAGGCAGGGCACATGCCCAGGCTGTGGGTTTCATCCCCAGCAGGAAGCGTTCAGGAAGGCAACCAATCAATGATTCTCTCTCATTATTGATTTTTCTACCCCTCTCTCCCTCTCCATTCATCTCTGAAATCACTAAAAAGATATTAAAAAAGAAAAAAAAAAAAAGGATTCTTATTCTCCAAAAAACCGAAAGCAGATTGAGAAATCCAGAGCTCACTGTGAAAATGTACTTTTTCTTCAATAAGAAAACTTGACTTACCCTCCTTGGGGAACTGAATCAACCGGTCCCTGTGAATGCCAAAGGACAGCTGCTGGCCTGGGTGGTGCTGAAGCCCAGTCCAGACCCACTGTCTCCTAAGTCTTAACAAGGACCTAAGAGATTCTGCAGGAATGTCCTCTAACCGCCACTTGTTTCTAAAGAAGGCTGTGGACCCAGGAGTTGATCCTGGTCCCTTGGTGTGACACTGAGCCCCTATCACCCTGCTCACTGCCCGTCTTCCTAGTTTTCATGGAAAAAGACTCCTGGGTGTGAGTAAAAGATGGTAGGTGCTTTAGATGTTTTCTTAGCTCAACCCCACCTCCAGCCTACAGTGTGGCCTCCTGGCCAACAGAATGCCCGGTCTTAATGGGGATGGAGCCCCTGTCTTGTCTAGTGGCATGGCAAAAAGCCTGAGGAGGCTGTGTCCACTGGAAACTGGGTAGTAATGTGCTCAAGACCCCTGTGGGGGCTGATACATGGCAGATTCCTCCCCTTCTCCACTCTTCTGATTCTGATATCTGAGGCAGGGCTGAGGAAACATGATTATAAATCTGCTCCCCAGGCAAGTCTGATGCAGGTGGGGTGTGGACCAGGGTTCTGAGGTTCCAAATTCCTTGTCAGGAAAACAGGCCCACTTGTGGCTGCTTGACCCGCTGCCCAGGAGGCTGTCCTCTGAGAGCTGTCGGCCACCGCATCTGCCGCTTAATTGGCACTTGGTCTTTTAAGAAAGAAAATCTTTCAAAGTATACCCAGGGTGGCTGGCTTTTTAACTTACCTGATTAAGGCATAGAGTTCATACCATTCTGGCTGAGAAGCTTAGAATATGTGTGTGTGTTTTTTGTTTTGTTTTTGTTTTTTTGTTTGTTTGTGGTTTTTTTTTTTTGCCAATTTGAAGATAGCTTTTCTTTTTGAGAATTGAAAACAATAGCTTTCTTCTCAGTTACTTCATTAACATTTTGGGGTTTGGTCTTGAGAACAAAAAACTAGCTGAAGATACATGACACTTTGGGACAAGATTATTCTTACGGAAACAGCCCAGCGATACCATCTGCTTCTAAGAAAGGGAGTAGAGGAGGCAGGAACTTAAGGGACATCATGTGACATCCTGGCAAGACCCAATCTTATCCATACTTGTGGCCTCACAGCTCTAAGTCCACTGTCTGGCTTAAGGCAAAGAGTTAATGTGCACTTGGTGAAAGAATGAATGGTGTATGAATGAATAATGAACAATCTACTCTATTTAAAGTATTGAGAGCTGACTTCTAAGGTCCCTTACTCTCCTAAATGTCTAAGTCAGACAATTGTGGTTGTCTTCCCAGCATCTGTTTCCATCTTCCCTGTTTCAACAATACTTCAAATTTTCCAGTCACGTGGAAATACAGGACTGATCACTCCCTGAGTTAGCTTGGTTTAGGGCACATGGCATATCCCCGCTCTGACTGCAGTGATGGAGTCAGGACTGGTGAGCAGTCAATCAGGGCTGAGACTCGATTCTAACACTTTGCTTGAAGTGTCTCTCTGACTGTTGCTCTTAAGTGAGCCTGGTTGCCCTGGTGCTGTTGGCCGCTCTCTGGGGATTACAAAAGGAGGCCTATGAGTTGTGGAGCCAAACGTAGGAGAGTGGAGCCAAGGAAGGAAGAGAGACACGCTGGTCCTGATAACGTCCTCGGAGTGATGAGAACATATCCTGCCTGAAGCTGGTTCCTCTGAACTTTTTGCTAAAGTCAATCAATGTGATTAAGTTCTGTTGCCTGAAACCTAGAGCATTGCAATTACCATGAAAAACAGCTTCTTAAAGTGGATCATTATGAAGTAGACTAATTTTCTCCTAGGAAAAAATATCGTGATTGGGGCTAATGCTTCATAATAAGAATCTGATGTCAAATAAGTCAATGTTATGACCCAAAGCAGGTGATGGATAAAAGCAAAGATATACTACATCATTCTAGAATCACTGCAAGTCATCAACTTTTAAATCAGGTCCTATCATATGGCAAAGATGTACTGAATCCAGTAAATATATGGGAGATTTCAAAGTACCAAATAACAACCTGAGTTTAAAAATATATATATGTGCAATGAAAAAAAATGTGAACTCTATATAAAAAATATGCTAATGATTTAACACTGGTGTTTAAAGTTAATCTCTCAAATGATGGTTTGTGCACATTTTAAAGAGAAAGGTTTGGTGTTTCCTGAGGTTCAGAATGTGCTTGCTACTAGATTATTTAAAACAAAAACAAATTTCATATTCTGATAGGTTTGTTGAACTTTCAGATCAGAAAAATGTTATAGTTTTAGCATATTTGGAGATTTAAAAGTATCTCATGTAGTTCTACCAGGCCCTCAGATTCCTTCCTCTATTTATCCTTCAAGACTCACATGCAAATTTGGCCTCTTCTATAAAGTCTGCTCTATGCACAGGAGGTAGAGAGTAGTATATTATTATGAAAATCCATTTGCATTTTAAGTGGTTTACATATGTCTCCCTTACTAGACTGTAAATTGGAGTTAAGTATTTTATTCATTGTTGTTCCTAACACTTATTGTGACATTCAGAGGTGCTCACTGCATGTTGCTGAAAAGGCCAAATGAGTGGATTCTAATCTTGGGAGTAAGATGGAGTAGCATGAGTTTGGGAATATTTCAGGTTAGTTAATAAGCAGTCCAACACTTGAACTCAAACAATTCATGGATCCAGGACAAATAAAAGAGAGTTCTTTCTCAGCGGTGCTCTGTAGGCCTTTGGTCAATGAGTTTTGATGACTGGATGGCACAGCTAATGGCATACTCTCTCGATTTTGGAATTTCAAATCACTAGACTCCTTCAATTAGAGCCTGGATGACTAATAGTGGGATGGAATAAAGAGGAACTTCTTATATGTCATTAGCTTTATATTAAATGGCCTCAACCATCTCTTCTGCATCTAAAGTTTTATGATTCTAGAGCAAATAAAAACTTAATTTGGTTAGATCCAAAAATCAAAGTTAAAAAACACTAAGGTAAAAGTTGATATTGTGAACATGCCATTATGAATGCCTCTTCTAGCTTTCTTAGGACATAGAGTTTTTAAAGAGCTAAATTCGGTGGTCCAAGGTCTCTTAGCAAAAGGTGAAATGAAATTGAGCCAATGCTGCGTTTTCACTTCAGTAAAGTTCTCTGCAGTGGCATTCACTCAACAAATGTCTATTGGGTAGTTAATGTGTAAAAGCAGTGCACAGAGCACGGTAAGTCATGGAACATCCAATACCTCTCGCAACAGATATTTTGTTGATTTATTGTCAGAGCACTTCACACTCCATTAGGGGACAAACAAAAACATCCAATTATTAAGTCATTAGCACTAGCTTTTAAAAGAGAAGATCAGAATGCAGAACAGTAGGTTGGAAGGGCCCTTTGAGACCCAGCACAAGCCCTTTATTTCACAGATGGAAGAACAGGCTCATGTAATAACAAATGAGATGCCTGTATATATGCTGACATGAAAAGATAAAGATGAGATATTTGTTAAGTGAAACAAGCAAGTTGAAGGAGATCCATTTTGACAAAAGGAAGCAACAGCAGCAAAAATGCATTAATATTGGGCATGTTTCAAATACACTTGGAAGGATATGCCTTTCAAAACAGAGAGGGTCAGCTACTGGAAAGAGGAATAGAATATGGGGAGAGAGTGGTTTATGGGTTATGGGAAATTTTTACTCTTAGCTCTATGTATTTCTATAATGTCTTTGCCTGTTCTGTGGCTTTGTATTGCTTTTGTAACATATATACATAAGTATTACATACATGGGTATCTTGTGTGTGTACTACTATATACTAGTACTAGTATATATATTTATTTATATATATATGCACTTCTGCGTAAGATTTTAAAAAGAAAGAAAGAAAAGTATTGGAAACTAATGGGCTGTGGGTTGCACTCTGAATGCCACGCCAAGGCTTTTGGTAAAACCTTTGCCACATTCCAGAACCTCCCTGAGCTGTTCCTTGTATGAACGAAATCGGGATAGTAATAGTGCTGATTGCTTAGGGCTTCGGGGAGAACTTGAGAGTTCAGGCACGTAGCTAGCGCAGCAGCTGACCCACGGCAGGTCTTTGTGGGCAATAGAAACAGTGGCAACGTCAATAACAATAGCAATAATTATGTTTTATTGCTGTCTGGAAGCAGGGCCTGGACAAGAACCTGTGTTCCTGGCTCTCCGCACTCCTTCCTCTCTGACGGGGGACGCACTTAGCCGGGTAGGTGATATTCAGGAGACAAGGAGCTTCTAGTGATGATAACTGTCTGCCTTCACGAAGGAAAGCTGCACAGTGACCAATGATCAGACAATGATCTCTTTCTAAGGAATCACCCTTAGTGACCCAACGTTATTCTTTGCTTTCTGTTAATCTGTTTGTGGTAAATGTCACAGGATTTTATAGCCACAAGATACTGGCCAAGAACATAATTCAAGGAACTCAACATTTACCCTTGCTGACCAAATGTGGAAGGAAAAAAAAAAAAAAAGAAAAAAAAGAAAAGAAAGAAAGAAAGCTCTACATCAGAGGCATCTTTTTCTAATTAGGATCCCTGAGTGGGTCATAGGCAGTGGTCCTTGGGGCTCCCAGCCAGGGGAGAGTGCTTTTCCAGACCTCTCTGACCAATCTCTCTCCCTAATGGAAAGACAAAGGGTTTCCAGGCCCTGAGACGGGGCTGCTTGTTGCACTAAATCAATGGCCGGAATGGCTGTCCAGGCAGGCCTGCTGCAGGCGTCTGGGGAGATTCCCACTTCAGGTACTCACAGTAAGATTTCCATATCGGAGGCTGGTATTCTTCAGCATCTAGAGTAAAAAGAAAGACAAACATCCATCAGCCTGACCATCCAACTGTCAACACACATATCTTCTTTGGAGGAACAACAGTGTGTCAGCAGCACTTGCACTGCGTCTTGGGGCCCCTCCACTCATTTCTGGACAGTCCCAGGCATGAGGAACGGAGTGTGCATGGCAACCTCAGGGACCCAACACACGTTCCTTCAGATCACTTACCATGGCAGAATCAATTACTTAACCATTTTCATAGAGCCCAGTACACCCAAAAGGATTTTTAAAGCAATTAAGTTGATTGTACCCTCTAGTCACCCTTTCAAACAGTATTTACTTAACTTGGCATAATAAACATATAATTTATCTCACAGTTTCCATTCAGACCTTTAGCCCATTTATTAAAACTTGAGGGAAGACGCAAAGTGGCAAGCATGTTAAATATTAAATCTGGGAGGCTGGGTGACTCAACCAACTCCGAAAAGATTGGGTTTGACAGTGGAGACACTGATGATTCAATTGGAATCGCATTATCTCCTTGAACTGACTCCAAAATGTGACATAGGAAATTTCTAGAAAACCTCTCTGCCATCAGAAGTGTCAGAACGAAAGAGTTAGAACAAAATGGAGAGGATGAAATTGTTATTCACCAGCTTGAAAAACAGACAATGGAAGAAAATCTGCTTGTTCAGTTGACTCAACAGTCCCAGTGCTGACAGCTGAATTTATAATTCTGACAGAATTATTAGTGCTCCCAGCTCCCAGCAAAGGCCATGGTAAAACACACTCCAGCTTAAACAGCCAGAGGAAACTTCTTTCCCCCAAATCAGACTGTTGAGCTGAGCTGGGGAAACCTGCAGAGTTCTCTCATTCACACCTTTAAGGTAGGACGCTCTGCCTTTGTCATCCCACCCTCCCACGGCATTGCACAGACACCCTTATGCTGTCCTTGTCCTTGTGCCACTGTCACATACTAGTTCGGTGCAAAGGAATAGAACCCTTCTAACCTCAGGCATAAGATAGTTTGAGAATTTTTTCCCCCTGCTGAGAAACAAATAAGTTACTTATAAATAAAACCTAACTCAAGAGTGATGAACGTTCCCCAATCCTACTCAATTACACATGGGTATCTTCAATTAAATTCTTCCACAATTACTATCTTGCTCTCTGGGACTCATCCTATCACAGAAGCAACTAAATGCCTCCAAAGGTAATTTCATTAAAATAAATCTCTACTGTTAGGCCTGCACTGCCAGAAATTTTCAAATAGAGAATCAGCCATTCACACACACACACACACACACACACACACACACACACACAGACATCAAATGACATAGGAATGTAAATCCCCAAGATATAATTTACCCAAAGCTGCAATGTCTTGTTATTTTGGATGAGATTTATACCTTGAGGTAAGCTCAACCCCTGACGAAGAGTGGTCAAGAATGGTCAAAACCTAGACTGCAACTTTCTGCATTTTGAGGAATGGCCCCCCAAGTAAGAGGCAGTTCCTTATTCAGGCTTGAAAATACAGTTCAGATGCTCAACTCGGATTCCCTAAGGTCACCTCACCTAAAGTCATAGAATTAGATGACTGCCATTGCCCATTTCTGTGAAAAACTTAGACTTTTGCTTCATCTGAAACACTGACTCCAAACTTTCTAACTTTCCTTTAGACTGGCCCTCACATACACAATTGATCACTTTCCAGTTGCTCTTCGTTGGCAACATATCATAGAGGTGAAGAAAGCCACCTATAGAGACAGGAGAACATAACGCTCCCTTGCTTAAAACTTTCCAGTGTCTTCCTTCTGCATCTGCAATAAAGCACAAACACCACACTGTGGCCTACAAGGCCCTGTGCCATCTGGGCTTGCTCCACCTCTTGACTCCATTGCAGACATGTCCCCATTTTTTACTTATCACCCAACCACTCTGCCCTTCTCTCTGTTCCTAGAACAAAAGCTCTCTGAATTCTGCCTTTGCTCTTATGGATCCTCCAGGTAAAATGCTCTCCAGCAAGTCTTTGCATGGTTGATGGGCTCCATTGTGGAGGGCTTAGCTCAGATGTCACCTTCAGGGGTGGCAGGGGCCTTTCCTGTCATTTTATGTAAAGTATCGCCCCCACCCCTACCCCACTCCCAGACTCTCCTTGTCATAGCACATCACTGACTGAAATTACTTATTTGTTGACTTGTTATTGCTGGTCTCATCCCACTATTAAACTTCATATAAGCAGGGATTTTGCCTCCTTCCTTTGTGCACAACTAGCCCTTAGGTACCTGGCATATACCAGACATTCAACACGTGTGTATTAAAGTAAATGAATAAGCTTTCAGGGTTCAAATCTTACCTCTGAAAACTAACTTGGAGCAGGTTACTTAGCTCCTTTTAAGACTCTCCCAATACTCATCGTTATAAAACAGAAAAAAATAAAAGTACTTACGGCATAACCTATGCCTTAGGGTTATTGTGGGAATTAAGTGAGATCATCTACATAAAGTTTTTGGGACAGTACCTGGCAATTAGCAAGTTCTCAATGAAGTGCCATGAATGTTGTCATTGTTACATCACCCCGTGCTGGCTCTTGCCAGGTGAGCTCATGCTCTTGTCCTCTCTCCCTTGACTGCAGCCCATGACCATCTCTCTTCTTGCCTACAGGTCTGGAGCCTATAATTAAGTTCCAGTGCTGTTGTCATGGAAGGTTTTTCTTTACCATAAAAGAATTCACAGTGGGAGGCCATTTGTCATGCATCAGTGGAGAAACTATAATTACCTTGGTCTTGAAGGCACGTTTCCCAAACCACTAAAGTGCACTGTTTGGAGGCCTTGGTCCAGGGACCAGGCACGAAGTATTTTTATTTTTTTTTAAAATAAATTTTATTTATTTATTTTTCTTTTACATTTTTTTAAATTAAATTATTATCTGTGCACATATTCTAACATTGTCCTCCCCCCCCCCCCCACATACATACCCTCCCTCCCCAGAGTTTTGTGTCCATTGGTTGTACTTATATGTATGTATACAAGTCCTTCGGTTGATCTATTATCTCCCCCAGATCTCCCTCCCCTCCCCGCTGTTATCTGACAGTCTGCTTGTTGTTTTACTGTCTCTATATCTGTCTTTTGGTTCATCAGTTTATAATGTTCTTTATTTTTAATACCTTGAAACAAACCTTTACGGCCTCCAACAGCTCTTCACCAACATGCACATTGGCCCCAATTTCACACAAAATTTTTCAAAAATTTAGTTTACTCTTGGGTAGCCTGACACTTAAAAAAAAAAAATCCTGGAATAAGTTTTCAGACTACTTAGGAAATTAAATGCAGCTGACTAAGCAGCTTTCTCAAGGTCATAAAACACGAGCAGGAGCCCCACCTTCCCGGCCTCCAACCCATCAGTCATCCCTACTAGGCAGGCCACTCGCATTCACATATGTTGAAATCAGGAAAAATTATATGACAGATTTGTTACTTCAACTCTTGTGAAGTTTAAAAGAAAGAAAAATAAAATGGAGAAAGCAAAAGAGAATTAATAGCACAGAAAACTGACATCGAGTCAAATGAGCAGCCTCCCATCTCTGTGTATACCCCCATCTAATGGGTAAATTCTGGGAGGGGCAAGGCACTGGAAGTACTGACAATATTAGGCCTGATGCTTCTGAAAAGGGCATTATTTTGTTAAACATTTGAGAGAAATGGGTGAAATGCAGAAGGAAAGAAGAGGAGGTGGAATAGAAGTTCCATGTTTTAAGAAAAAAAAATCATTAAATCCAAAAAACAATAATACATTGTTTGAAAGAAATAATGAATGGTAGGGGTTCAAAAGGCTTAGAAAAGTATTGTTTAAATATATTGACCAATATGCATCCAAAATTTTTAAAATATGCAAATTCTTTGACTCAGCAATTCTACTCATGGGAATTCAACATGAGGTTGTAAGGGAACACATGAACAAAGATGAGTAAGGAACAAGCTGTTCATTACTGCTCTGTGTATAACACTGGTTAGATAAGCGATTATATACTATTGTCATGAAAATGATGGTGTGGATCAGAGCTGTGTGGTCAAGAGCATGGCCTCCTGAGCTGGACTATCTAGGTTCAGAACCTAGTTCTGTCACTCATGAGCTGTGTGACCTTAGCAAGAGATCTCATCTCTCCATGGCTCAGTTGTTTTTTTTAACCTAGAAAATGAGATTAATAACACTCTCCAACATATTGCATGTTGTGAGGAGAGGATCCGTTAATATATATATATATATATATATATATATATATATATATATATATATATATATAAATATATATATATATATATATATATATATATATATATATATAATAGTCTGGTGTCTGGCATGTAGTAATCTCTGCTACTTATATTATTAATATTTGATGGCATAGAAAAATATTCATGCTATATTAGATATTAAACAAATCAGGTCACAACATAATTGGTTACATATAATGCCATTTTAAAGAAAAGATAAATATTTACATACAGAGAAAGGAACTACGGGGTCATAAACTCCATTACTAACAGCTGCTATCTGTACCTGACAGTGAAAATAAAAGGGTTCAATATTTTTTCTTTGTTCACCTGCATTTAAAATTTTTCTATTCATATTGTTTGTGTAAAAATGAAAATGAATGTGAAATAGGTTAATGGGAGTGCTAGGTTTTATTTTTAACATGCTGTCTAAATAAATTACCGCCTTAACAGTAAAAAGTAAAAGTGACCAACAAAAATAATTCTCATGTAACACATGCAGTGTGTATGTGTTAGTGCAGGAAGAGCCAGGAAAGACAAGAAGAGAGGGGGTGGATTCTGGAACAAAATGTCTTGTGTGGCTCCTTCGGCCCCCTCTGGATAATTCTGTGATATACAATAAATGTTAGAAAGAGATGCTAAGCAGGCTAGGAGCAGGCATCTCCTCTCCTCAAAGAGTGTGTGTGTGTTTGGGGGGGGGGGGTGGGGAGGGAAGAAAGACAGAGGTGCTTAGAAAATGATCA